TTAATTTAAGTTGATAGATAATCATAAAATATTTTATATATTAATTTAAATTAATAAAATAAAATATTAAATAATGTTTAAAATTTTTAAAAATTTACTGACTTAATTTATTGATTAAAAATTTTAAATTTACTAATTAAATCATTAAAATTTGATATAAAATCTAATCCAAATGAATTCCTCTTTTGTAAATTAAACTAAAATGTTTTTAACTATATAACTTAAAAATTAAAGTTCGTAAAAACTTTATAATTAAACTTATCTTTTTTCTTCTGACTTCCATGTCAGTATATGCTAGGCCCCGTATTTGTGTGGCTGGGGACGAAATTATGATTAGCATCATATTTCACGATACTATCTGTTCACATTTTCCTTCGGGACCTTTTAGTACACCGTTATTTTGACCACTCAAATATCACTTTTTTATTTTTTTATTTTTTATAAATAATAATTAAAATAATAAAATTGTATAAGTGGGCTTTAAAGTATTAAATATTTATCAATTTAATCTTTAAATTGATATATTTTATTAATATTATAGGGCCAATTTAAAAGATTTTGCTATATAAATTAAAAATAATTTATATAGTTTTATTATTTTTAAAAAAGTAATACTCCAAATAAAAATTTGATTATTCATTCAATATGGTTCTAAGCAATTTTTTTAGTGTAGTTTAAATTAATTATTTAGCAGTCATGAATGAGACTTGTTTGAAAATCAATTTATATATATATATATATATATATATATAATATATAGATATTAATTACTTGATTTTATAATGTTCAATTAGGTTCATAATCAAATTTTAAGATGATATCCAAGTTTATTTTAGTAGTTGTTATTGAGTTTATTAAGTCATACTACTAAATTGTTATTGGATCACTTGTTAATGTTTAGTTTTCGATATGAAAATGTGTTAATAATTTCACGTTGACTAATAATATAACAAAAGTTAAGTAAAAATAATAATTAATTAACCATTATTTATTTGTGATTTTTTTTTCACAATTATGTTATTAGTATAAATTATGATTATCTACTATTGAGAGTAGTTATTAATTTTTGTTAGAAATCATGAATATACATAATATTAATATTTTTTTTCTAATATAATTTATTTCATATTCAAGATTGAGACTTAAATTTTGTTAGAAACATGAGGACCAAGGTTCAATTCTCATTGCGACAATCTTTATAATCTTTCTTATTTTTACAAAAAAAAAATTAATTATAAAAAAAATTGCATACTAAGTTTAAATATGAAAATAGGTTAAATAGTTCTGTATCATCTAATTAATTGAGTCTTTTAAATGATTCTTAATTATTCTAGGAATAAATTATTGAAATTTAAAGTTATTAAAATATTAAGAAAGCTTCGGGATGATATGCCATTTCGTTCTTTTATCCTTACGATAGTTTGATTAATTATGATCAGCAAAATTGGAGAGTCAAAATCACTAAGATTGATCGTGAAGCCAATCGTGTAGTTTTCCTCTATCCTTCTGTTAGAAGAAAAAAAAAATGTGACAGTAGCGAAAGAAGATTTCTGTAAAATAAATGCTCTTTATGTACTACATATAAATGTTTATAAACATAGGAAAACTATAAAATAAAAAAACTAGAAATAAAATGTAAATTTAAAAATTATGTCAATGTTAAGAACCAAGATTCGAATTTAGTTAAAGGATATATGTTTGACATATGTTTAGATTTTGTACGATCAATACTTATTAGAGAGTTGCTACGTACTCTCAGAGATCGAGAGATTTCAATATATTTTTTTTATGTAAATTCATAAAATATCTAAAAAAATTAATTTAATTGTAAAATGAATAATTCAAATTATATTTATAAAATGAAAAGTAAGATAAAATTATAGAGGTTAAAATTATAAGATTTCAATAATGTTATAAAACACTAAAAAAGAAAAGAATTAATAAATAGTAAAAATAAAAAATTATTAAAATTACAATATAAAAATTCAAAAATTTAAGATAAAAAGACAAAAATATACTTAAAAAATTATTAAAATTAAAATATATAAATTTAAAAATTTTAAGTGAAAAGACAAAAATATACTTAAAAAATTATTAAAATTAAACTATTTAAATATATAATAATATTATTATAAATAAAATTAGAATATATAAAATAAAAATAAAATAACTAAATAATTTAAAAATTAAAAGAATAAAATATCATTTAAATAAATTATTAAAAATATAAAATATAAAATAAAATTATAATTATAACTGTACCGGTACCCTCTCAAATAACATGGGTACCATAGAATTTCTCTACTTATTATCGGTTAAAAGCTCATGTGAAAACTGAAAGTATGAAAGTAGACCGTAGAATCAGATCCACCAAAGTTACGGAATTAGATGTGTTCCTTTCGTGTTGCACAATCTCTAACTGTCAATAAGAATATTGATTATGCATGGAACATACGAGTTTTTGCATCATCTTAATACTAATATGTATAACTGGTTAAAAATAAATAAATATATTCTATATATTTATTAGCGTCTCATTAAAAATATCCTGAAATTATTAAAATATGTGATACTATAATTGTTAACTTCTTACAACTACTCTCTCCTGTTTTTAATTTTTCTTTTATTTTGAATTTTTTTATGTTTTAATATGTTAAGTAATATTTTAAATTTTTTTACATATATCCCTTATTAACTATTAAAAATAGTAATTCAATAAAAATATTTTAAAATTAAATATTAATGTTAAGTATTTCTCGAAAAGTATGAAAAACTTTAAACATCAACCATTATAGATAAGTGGGAGTAGTTATTATGTATTATTTTTTTTCAACGCACATAATTAACTATGGATGTAATATAATTTATTTTATTTCACAAATAATTAAAAGTAAATAAATATAATTCTAAATGTATAGAATTATACATATATGATTATAAATGAGATGAAATTATTGAAATGTTGATCAGTAATAATAGTTATTCATTACAGTTAACCATTTGTGAGATAAATTAGTCACATTTATGAACATAATCAACCGTGTACATGTGGAAATTCTTCCTTTCAATAATCAACATTCCTTTATCACAAGAATTGTTTTTTGCACGTTTATCAGAAGATCTTGAATTCTGGACATAGATGAGGTGAGTAGAACATTGAAATCCTAATCATCGGTCATAAAAGAAGCAAATTTACATCGGACCCACTCGCTTTAAGAAAGTGGATGCCTATTCTGCCACTGAAAACTTCAACACGGGGTATCTCTCTCTAGCATTATTTTTTTTCTTCTGTCTATTTAAAATTATTTATAATTTTGGCGAATGCAATACTTCAATATTCCACCACCGTTCCAACTTTGTTTTCCAACTTTGTTTCTTTCTACAGTTCCACTCCCTCACAACTCGGAGTATGGCACCATTTAGATGCGCTTATTGTACTTATACTTTGCGTTTTGCACGCGTTTCAACTGCACTGTATAATAAGGAAATGGTAGAAAAATATCAAACATTATTGATGAAACAAACAACGCTGTGTGTGAGAGATTGATAATAAGAGAGCTAAGTATAGTTCCCCGACATGACAACTTTTTATGCTTAAATTCCCTAACCACTTTCTCATTTTCCAATCACATGTTTTGTCTAGCATTTAAAATTGTGCCGATAAACATGAAGACAGATGTTCACAATATTATATATTAAACTTTAACCCAAGAGAAAATTGTGGGAGAAAAAATAAAGACAGAAAAATCAACGTGAAATTCTCGTATTCTTTCACTTTCAATGAACACAATTACACAAGGAGTCTCGGTTACCGAGCAAAGCAGAACGTGCTACCTTTCTCTCTCCCTGTGTGTTTTTTCCTCTATCTTCTTCCCATTTGTTGGTCAACCTTTGTTCATTTTTCTCTCTTCTAAGTCTTCCCTTCTTTGGTTCAGAGGACTTTGAGCCCCTTAGAAGTCTTGTTGTCCAACTATCCATCTTCTTCAGTTTCTTTTTTCTGCTTTGTCTTGAAGCCTCTTCCCAGAGTCTGTTACTCAAGATTTGCTTCTGGTTCATTCTCTCAAGCTGCTGTTGAGTTCATCTTCACTCTTGACTCAGAGGGTGACCCTGTATGTAATATTTATTCTTCTTTTCCTCTTGATATCTTTCCCCTGTTAATTAACTCATAAAAGTACAAACCTTTTGTCCTCGCGCCTCAATATACTTGATGGGTCATCCCCAGATGAAAATTCTTCTCAATTATTGCTTCTGGGAATCTGAGATTCGTTGCTTGACTTGCAAGTGACTTTGGTGTTGTGGTTGGGGGAAACAGTGCCCTTATTCAATTTTGCTTGTTTGAGCTTAATTTAATAGATTATGTTGGTTTGTTTGTTTAGCTTTTTAATTGAGATGGGTACTTAATGGGGTTCAATTTTTTATTTTGCTTCTAAACCAAGTCAAGCAGTCCTTTGACTCAATTGGAATCTTGTGTATTTGGGGTCATGGATAACTCAAATGACTCATCATCATCCTTGAGTTTTGTATCATCTCACCTTTCAAATGGTTCTAGTAATCACAACGTGTCCTCCTCCACCAGCAATGAACATGGGGCAAATATTGAGATTTTGAGTCTGAGTAAGCTCAGTGGAAGTCTTGAGAAGCTATTGATTGATGCTGAGTATGATTATAGTGATGCCGAGATTCTTGTTGAAGACATCTCTGTGGGTATTCATCGCGGTATATTGGCTTCACGTAGTCCATTTTTTCATGAGCTTTTTAAGAAAGGAACTGATGAATCAGGGAAGGAAGGGAAGCCAAGGTATCTCATGTCAGATTTGGTGCCCTATGGCAGAGTTGGACATGAAGCTTTCCAAGTATTCTTGTACTATTTGTACACTGGAAGGCTAAAGGCTTCACCAACAGAAGTCACAACATGTGTTGATGAAACATGTATCCATGATGCATGTCGCCCTGCTATCAATTATGCTTTGGAGCTCATGTACGCTTCTGCCACTTTTCAGATGAAAGAACTGGTTTTACTTTTTCAGGTATATTGTGTTTTTTGTGGTGTCATTTCTGGTTCTTTTCTCTTTTTATTTTATTGCTAAGTTTTTCCTAAAAGTAGGGAAATGTAATAACATAAAGCGCGCCTTGTTGATATGTTATTTTCCTTCATTTTAGGCATCTCCATCCGTGTAAGTAAAATACTACCCGATTTAGTGTTCCCAAAGTTTACCAAGATTAAAAGCAGATAAACATTATAGTACTTTTTGCAAGTTTTGGAAATAGTTTCCAAATCCACATGTGTTTTTTTGGAATGTGTTCAACACTTTATCTTTGTTCCTAGTGAACAAATTTGAAATAGATGTACGCACGGCTTTTCTGATTTTAGTAATGTATCAATAATATCATGTTTCCTAGGTTTCATTTTATTCTATTTTTCCGCTACAACTTTTAATCTCCGGTATATATCTTAAGGAGAATACTTGGTCATCTCTATTAGTTATATTTTATTCTTTTGTTACCAAGGAAAAGACACTTACAGCTTTTGCTTAACAAAATATTTCTCTACTGATGCAGCGGCATCTCCTAAATTTTGTTGAGAAGGCTCTTGTGGAAGATGTCATTCCTATTCTTATGGCTGCCTTCAACTGCCAACTGGACCAGCTTCTCTCTCGTTGCATTCAGAGAGTTGCAAGGTCTGACTTTGACAATACATCTTTGGAGAAAGAGCTCCCTCATGAAGTTGTGACTGAAATCAAATCACTCAGACCTCAATCTCAGCCAGAATCCACACCTGATGCAATGGAAGTGGTGCCTTTGAGTGATAAGAGTGTCAAAAGAATCCACAAGGCATTGGACTCTGATGATGTTGAACTATTGAAGCTTCTTCTAAGTGAGTCTAGTGTCACTCTAGATGATGCCTTTGCCCTGCACTATGCATGTGCCTATAGTGATTCTAAGGTTGTTCAAGAAGTTCTTGGTCTAGGCTTGGCTGATATTCTCCTTAGAAACTCCAGAGGATACACAGTTCTTCATGTGGCTGCGAGGCGAAAGGATCCGTCCATCTTGGTAGCACTACTTAAAAGAGGGGCTTGTGCATCAGATACCACTCCAGATGGACAAACTGCTCTTGCAATTTGTCAGAGGCTGACAAGGCGCAAAGATTATCATCAGAAAACAGAGAAGGGTAAGGAATCTAACAAGGACAGGCTTTGTGTTGATGTGCTGGAGAGGGAGATGAGAAGAAGTTCAAGGGTTGTGAATTTGTCTGTTTCATCACAGTTAACAGCTGATGATTTGCACATGAGACTGGATTACCTTGAAGATAGAGGTAGGGCTTTCACTTGTCTAGTAACCTATTTGGATATCAGCTAGAAGTGCATTTGAGATATTCTCTATTGAAAAAACTCTTTATTTTCAGTTAACAAATACTTAAAAACCCTTTTAAATTTGTATCTAAACAGGCTTGAGGTCACTTTGTTTCAATGAATGTTGGCTTTGGAATTTGGACCTTTTAGTTGAGTTGGAAGGTTGAAAGGGTAAAAATCACAAAGTATTTTCTGTTGTTCAAAAGATACATAGATTGGTACACAATCAAATGAAATCCTTCTAATTATGGTAACTAATTGATTAGAAATATGCACTCAGGCCAATAAATCTAGGTGTGTGCATGCATCAGAATCATAACAAAATATTTGCATGATGCTTCTAGATTTGGAAGCATGTATGGAAATGAAATTAACATGCTCCATATGTTGCAGTTACATTTGCTAGGCTGTTGTTTCCTGCTTAGGCTAGGGGAGCCATTGAGAAAGCTGAGGCAGAATTCTCACCCC